ATTGGATTCCCTGCAATAGTCAGCACCCAGGCTTTTTGTATTTTATTCTGGTTTTCTCTAAACTTGTTCAAACTTTTGCCATTCACTTCTAGTGTATATTCATAGGCAAATCCACTGACTGCATCTATTGTGATTGTACATTTAGCCTTGCTGTGTCCTATCTGAAAATGCTCCTTGCCAACCAACTTAAACATCCAGTCTGTCCTATAGATTTCCTGAAATTAAGCATGTATCTATTTAAACACAGGTGCAGCGTCTGGATTATTGACATCCAGGTTCATATGGCAACACTGTATGTGATGAGATTGTCATATATATGTCGCAAGAACTGGAAGATGCTCTTTTCTTTGTATATATATATAAGTAAATATCTAAAACATTTCTGGTTTATTTATAATAATTATTCAGTGACATAACATATTCTGAGCATTAAGAAAAAATACATCAATCACAAGTGAACCATGTAAACAGACACCATCTACAAGTACTAGATGCTTTCAAATATTTCATAGAAATGTAAAGAGTAATTATTTTGTTACATGCCATACATATCTTCAGATGAAACATTTTACCTCATTAATTGAAACAGAGATACAACAAAAGCTTGCTTTACCTTTCCATCTACCCTGATGACCCTTTTTCCAGATGTGGTTCCGTGTTCAAACTCGATGTCATGGACACCGTCAGGGAGAGCCACCTGCCACGTGGCTACGATGTCATTAGACATTATTAATCCTGTTCACAAATACAGGTCAAAATGTATATAATTGGAATTAATATTACAGAGTATATAAAAATCCCATAAAGAGTGGGTAACTTAACAAACAGTCGATGGTTGATATGAACGTTACTGTGTCAAAATCAATACAAATACTATGGTACCTAAGTTATGAAATATATGAAGAACTGTTTTAATTAAATCTTTAATGTTAACATGCTAACAAGAAAGGACTTGTCTATGACCCACTCAGTGGGAATCTCACAAGTTTCTGACACCTTTGATCCTTGTTAGCACAATTAGTCAAATGGCATTTACAAGAGTGGTATTCAGTAAATCTCCATGTAGTGTCATTTAGTCACTGCTTTTCATATGAAATGAGACTATGCCTGTATTCCAGTATATTGATATCTGAGCTTCTGAGACATGCCAGAAAAAAAAGACACATGGATGAAAACAAATCAGCTGTTATAGTCAATAATAGCAGATATCACTGTGAATCACCTGTCATAGATATATAACACTAAGCTACATACCAAACAAGCATCTGGCAGTGCACTTATTGATTTCATAAATCTGGGCTTCATGTTTAGGTAAATTAGTGAAACTGATCTGACTGTTACAATAATCAATTAATCCACGTATATGTACTGTTAGAACATTGCTATAATTTTAGCATTTCAATGTAAATAAAAAAAAGCAACACTTATTCAAAGAGAGAAAGAGGGAGAGAGAGAAGGAGCCTTGCAAGTATCAAAGTGTGAGCATTGCAGCATTCCTACATAAAATCATGTTGATTTTTACTGATTAACAATTGAATGAAAAATATAGAGAAGACTGAAACTGGTTAAGACTTTGTAACAAAGAATGATGATATATTTTTTCTGGACAGTTAAAAACTTCACACACCTACCCTGACACAACACAAAATTAAGAATATATTTACTTGAATTACACTTATAAACAGATACTGTATGCAGGGATATTTTCACCCCGCTATATTTTCACCCTTTCACACCTGTAAACAATTTTGCCCATTTTTATCGATAAATTTGACCAGTCACAATTTTGTTCAAGAAAATATACTGTACTCTTTCAATTCGCCCCTTTTTAAATTCGCCCAAAGAGGTTAGGGAGAAGAGGGCGAAAATAAAATGTAGGTGAAAATTTCCCTGTATAAAGTAGTTATTTAAAATGAATGCTAGATAGAATGTTCTATTGTTAAAATGATAAATGTCCTACAGACCCAGTTTAACTTGTCCCAAGACCCAGTTAGATTATTCTAACTAAATGAATGCTAGATCAGCAGATTGCTTTAGCACAGTCCAGCTGAGAATTCAAAAGAGCTATTCTTAAAAATTTTTAGAGCACAGCATACTTAAACAAAGCAGACACAGTTGTACCGAATAAAAAGCATAAAAAATTGTTATTATTATCACTATTGCCCTTATAGATAGAATAATCTAACTGTGTCTCGGGACAAACCCTCACCACAGATAATAGAATACGCCCCATATACTTGCAATGTAGCAAATCGGAGCAGATCCGCTCCGAAATGATTTTAAAGAATACAAAAGGAGTTACGTTGAAAATTACTATCAGCTAAATAAAAACAAACATTTTTGAGATTATGCCTTTCATCCCCAAAAATAATCTATATAAAGGCCATTAGAGGAAAATTCAACAAAATTTCTCAACATTTTTTTTTTGATTCAAATTTAACTGCCATGTTTATATTAGGAACTCTCTGGATTGTTCATAGTAATTAATGCAATGAATACGAGTTATTGCCGGTGTTTATTTTGCTACACTGCAAATACACAGAAGGAATTCTATCGTTAAACTAAGTGCGTGGGACAATAGCATTTTTACGAAAGAACGTTCTGTCTATTCCCCTTATTGCTGTTCTTAAACTTCTGTAAATTACAGGTGGGCATTGTAATCCCCCTCTTTCCAAAAAAACACTGACATGGTTGTGATAGTTTCCAGAGATAAGTCAAGCGCTTAAGGATGAATTGAAACATGAACAATTTAAGCATAATTTTTTTTTTTTAAAAAATAACAGAAATAACCTTTTAAGTCGATCTTTTATAAATGGGATAGATATATTGTGCCAGCTAGATTTATCTCTCTTTTCAGAGGGTCAATGAACCTTAACACTGGTAAGCCTTGAAAAGCTAAAGTATTATTCGTTTGCTAAGTACAAAAATATAAAACACATAAATATCGTGATACCTTGTGTGCAAAAATATCGAAAGTTAAATGTAAATACGTCAAAAAACGCATCAAAATATGCTGCTGGGCAACACTTACACAAAATACGGGTACCTGGCTAACAACGGAAACGAAAGTAAGCATTAAGTCGTACATCCAATCTTTCCTTATAAATTTCAAAATTAAAAAAAAATGAATTTAACTGTCAGTTTGTTTGTTTTTTTTTAGTTCTATTATGTCTGTTTGTTTTGAAACCAATTCTTCTTCATTGTTTGATTATATGTTGACACTACATGTTATGAACAACTTATCAATTATGCATTTGTAAACAATATGGCGGATAACCAGACTTCAAGAAAGGTAAAATTAGCGTTTATTAAGTTTAAATATGAAAATTCTGAAGAAAAACAACAAAAGCCTATAGCATTTATATGTTGTTACGTGCATTCCTTATATGCATGGATCAAATTGTTGATTTCTTAGAAAAAACAATGAGTCTGTTTATTGCACTTGCACAGACTTGCAAGATGTTATTTAAATGTTGTTTAAATGAGTAAATACTGAGGCGCGAAAAAAAACCTCGGAAATTGACTTTTTCCCCTCGCTATCATATCAGTCAAGCAGAATAAAGTACGGAGATCAACTGTCTTAATTTTACAAGTAGATGAAGTGGCTGAAATTAAATTATTAAAGAAATACTCATTCACATATCCTCTATGCTCTAATTTAAAAGAGTCTAATCTCTATTCAGAAGATGATGGCTTTGCTTGTAAATACTCACCTCAACTTGTAGGAAATGCTTAATAAAAGCAAATAATTTAGTTTTACTTGTAACACATCATTCGATTTGAAAAAAGATTTAATTTGGTGTAACATGAGTTGCCTACCTCACAATGATACGTCAAAAACATATTAATTAGTTTGACGTTACTTTTGAAATATGCTCATTTTGAAGCCATTTTTGGAGGAAAATTTGTCTTCTTCTCTACACTGAAATGAAATTAAGGAATGAAGCTTATTTGAATCTATGTTATATTTGAATCCATGTAATATGAATTATGATATATAACATAACTTGGGCAGTTTACACTTTTTTATAAACCACTTTGATATGGTAGTTATCATCATACATGTATATGTGTTATACTTATAAATGTACATCACAGAGACGGTATTGTTTTTAAACTGGAATAATTGCCTTTTTGTTGCTGGCTTCTACTTTTGTCTAATTGATCAACTTAGTATTAAGAAATTAAAATATTTTTACTTTTAGGTTACTTATGAAGAGGATACAAATATATCAAACTCCATGGCATCGTCAAATTATCAGGTAAATTAGATATAAATGATCTTTTAAAATAATATATATTGATTTCCATTATTGTTCAATTTTCCTGTAAAAGTTTATATATTTTGTATGATGGTAAAGTTTTTCTCTTGATTTCTTTACAGAATGAAGTTGATGAATGGACAGATGTAAACAGAAAGCTGAAGAACCATGGTCTTCCCATCATCAAACTACTGCATCCCTCAGACATAGCTCTCATGACAGGTGAATGATGGGATAGACTCATCAGACAGTCAGAATCCGTCAGCAAAGCTTAACATGATGTCATACTCATAGTTTAACATTTACAAATTCTTTTTTTATTTTTGTCTTGAAATATGAATTTGTTACTAATTTCTAAAATTTAGTAATTTTAGTATTTTTAATATATAATATTGCTCTGGTTTGAGAGTTATTATTTATGCATTATATTTATTTTTATTTCATTACAGGCAGGACAGTATGCTTGGATTCTGCCATGAGTAAAACACTGAGGGAGAATGTTTTATCTCTCGTGGCAGACTGTGATCACCGACAAACACTAATTCAGGATTTAATCATCACTAACAACAAACTCAAGTAAATGCTTGTTTTGCCATTTCATTTTGAATTGTTTAGTAATTAGCTGAAAATAACTGTGGTAAATAATGAATTACTCCACTAAGGAAATTTTCCAAAGGATTAAAAAAAATGGATAGAAGGAATAAATCAGGGATGGGGTAATGGTAATGTGTAATGGTAATTGACTGTAATTAATTACAAATTTCAATGTAATTGAAAGTAATGTGTAATTAGCCAAATTTTCAATTACAAGTAATGTTAATTTAATTAATTACTTTCCAAAAAGGCATGTAATTCACAATTACTTTTCAATTACACTGATTTAAATAAATGAAAATACCCCCCCCCCCCTTCACCATCTCATAAACATGATTTAAGAAAGGTTAACTGTTGTTTTTTTTTGCAAATATTCTGATAGTAGAATTTCTTAAAAAGAATTTTAACATAGTCATATTTCCCTTTTTAAGTAACTTGCTGATTAAATATTGCCCTATTTTATTTTCTTAAAAACTTTCAAATCAAATTAATCTTAGTAAAGTGTAGAAATAAAATTTATATTTTGATTTTTTAATTAATTAATCCATATCAAAATAAATAGTCCAATGGCTTCTAATCCTCTTGTTTGCAATATCTTCAGCTTGTGTTAGAAGTTATTATCAGGTGCTAATTAGTGCCCTGGGGTCATGTACATATTCCTTAATAGATATTTTTCATACATTTTGACCTTGTCTCTTGGTATTTTTATACACATACTTTGACTTTAAATTTTAGTTTGGCACAGAATAAGTCAAATACCAACATTTTGAGAATATCTTTATGTGTTGTTGAAATTGTACTTTCCACATAAATTTAATCTGTTTCATGATTCCAAATTTTTTAACATATGAATTAAGGTAAAACCATGAGTAAACTTTCTATTAGTCAGTTTCTATGTATTCCTGTCACAAACACCCAAGTGGAAAGAATTGTCAGTGTGGCAGGAAAATCTTCAAATCTAATAGATGTAGGTTAGGAGATACAGTAATTGAAAATTGTATGAACATTTTAATAATATTATTGTAAAAAAAATGTTGTAAAATAATCTGATATAAATATAAAGGAATGTACATCACTATTTACGTTATAATTTATACATGTTTTCTTGAATGTAATGTGTAATTTAATTAATTACATTTGCAAAGTAATTGTAAATTAATTACATTTCAAAATCCATGTAATGGTAATGGTAATTTAATTGAAGGTTTTGGGAAAGTAATTGTAATTTAATTAATTACTTTCCTATGTAATTGACCCCATCCCTGGAATAAATAAAGGTTTATCAGTTTGCAGAGTTATCTCTCTTACCTCAGTACTCTTTATTTTGTTTTTAGAGAAGACTTGGAGAAGCAATCCAATCTGACATCAAAATACCATGGAAGAATGAAAGAATTGCAAGTGTTGCTTGAAAGTTCAAGGTCAAGAGTTCAGGTGAGTATGACTAGATTTGTGAGTATCTTTGTCATGGAATTTTTTTATTGTAAGTCCAAGATCCTTTTGCATAATTATTTGGTTGAAAGTGGTAAAAAAGAAATTGTTTTGTGGATACAATATAAAGTGTCAGCTGTTCGTATCAATTTCGTTTGAAGTAAATAGCATGTTATTCTCAAAATGTCCTACAAAAAAGTTTGATGAGATACTGTAAATGTATTATATTTAGCTTGTACAATATTTGGCGGAAATTGATTTTTGAACAAGTTAGTGTAGATTTGATTTAGCACATTTCTCAGTGTTCCTATTTATGTGTATGTGTGCAAGACATTTAGTGTTGTACTGGAATTAGCGGAAGATTCACTCCGCCAAAAGCGCTAAAAAGAATACACAGCCAAATGTAATACGTTTACAGTATGTGATGCAATTTGGTATTGCATGAAATTATACACAAGAATCTCTTTTCAATTAGGTACATTTCTTTTTTTCTAACTTATTCAAGGGTTTATGTCCACGAAAGAAAATATTCTACTTGTTTGGTTTGTTCTACAGACTCTTTCAGGAAAAATCCCTGTCTTGTATTTTTAACAGGAACTTGAGGAAGTGGGATCCTCTAGGGGATCATTTATGACAGAAGAAGAGGAGAAACTTGTCAATACAAAGAACGCAATGCACATCAAGTGTAAACAGCTCACACAGAAATGTCAGAGCCAAGAAAGAGAAATAGAACGTCTCAAGTCCAAATTACAAAAAATGGCGGAGGAGGTAACAGAATTTTTTTTAAAAAGTGAAGTTAAAAACAATTTTTTCATTTTCAGTGATAATGGAGGGGAGGGTCTTGATTTAATGATCAGTTTTACTTTAACTTTAGTAATCTAATTTTTTCCATGCTTTTAGTTAGATGTTTTATAATTGGGAAGTAGTGCTTTTCAATCAGAGAATTATGGTAATCTATGTAACATTTTAAATATTGACCTTGTATTCCAGGAAGACAAGCGTTCTTCCAGACAAAGCCAGGTCTTCCAGGAATTCAAGAAGAGGACTGCCAGAGCTCACAGTGTCATGGATGAGAAGTGAGTGATGTCTGACCAGCTTATTTTGTTGTGTGATTGTATACAGAGTGATTTAACAATTCCACTGGATTCTGGCCCTCAATTTCTATTAAGATTGACTATTTCATTTTGATAACAAATAAATAAATCAGTTTGAAGTTTAAATTGAAGTTTTCGGCTTTCATTTAAAAATACTTGAGAATTAAATTTTTCAAATTTGTGTCTGGAGTAAAAAATTGTATTTTCGTCTTCAAAGTTTACTGCTTCTTCTCTAGAAACATGATAGGCAGCTGCAAGCTTTTCAGCTTATTCTTGCTTTTATACCACAAAAAGACTAATATTGTGTGCTTCTTTTTCAGGTTATTAGATATTATAGATGCATATGAAAAACAGGTGCTAGGCTTGCAAAAGCAGATTGAATTTTATAAGTAAGCTCTATTTTTTTCTTAATCTTTTTTTCTTTCCATTTACAGTATTATGTGCAATGAATGAAAAAAGTTCAGGATACATGAAATACTGATATTGTCAATGTCCAAATTCAAATATATTTTTATGATTCAGTTTTCAGCTTGTAAATGTAGAGAAGTTAATATACTTGTGTTTATATTCTTCTTTAAAGAATAACAGATGGCAATAATATATCTTAATGCTGTAAGATTCATTGATATGGCTATGAAACATTCTATCTTTAGACAGCAAATAATTGTTAATTATTTATAATACGATTTAAATATTGTTGACCTAAAGATAAACAAATATTTATTCCTCATCATCGTCATCTCGTAAATCACAAAATTTACTTTATTTTATTACCATTACCAAATACTTGTTTTTAAATTATACCCATTTTAATTTAAAAATTGGATATAAAATTCTACTTGCTTCATTTAAACATCACCACCTCCACCAGCCCAACCCCACCCTTAAAACAAGAAAAAGTGAAAGAAAGTACAATCTTTGCATACTATATGTATTTTATATGAAATTTGTATCTTTTTGTCAATGCAATAGGTTTTTTATCTGGTTAATATAAAATGTTTCAATACATGTGATTTTGATCTTAAATTTCAGGTCAGCAGAGCTTGGAGATACTCAGGACTTTGATGATGAGGAAAAGTCATTCTTCTCAGTCCAGAATGAGCCCTCACAAAACATGAAATCTTTAGTCAGGGTAAGTCTTCCGATGTAACAAGCCACCCTCACCCCTCCATACAAAACAAAACTTTTAGTCAGAGTAAGTCATTACAAGCCACCCCAGCCCCCAACCCACCCCCCGATATAACAAGCCACCCCCATCCCTCCACATAAAACAAAACCTTTAGTCAGAGTAAGTCCTATTACAAGCCACTCCACTACATCCATACAAAACATTAAATCTCAAGTCAAAGTAAAGTAAGTCTTCTGATATTACAAGCCACCACACCCCCAGCTACACATGAAACATTGTAGTCAGATCTAGAGTACATGTTCTTAAGTGAGTGTAAAAGTTTAATAGAAATCTATTAAAATTCAGTGAACTGGTTGTAATGAGTAAAACTGTTGTTATAGAAAAAAAAAAGTTGGATGCTGTAGTCTGATAATTTTGTGTAAAGTACACTGCAATCTATCCAACAGACATTCTCTCATGCAAATATGACATTTTTATTTATTATCCCCTTTATTTAAACTTTTGAAAAAAAGGGTTATTTATCTCATTTCTATGCATTATGCATGTGATGTACTTTTACCTAAATTTATTTATTTTGTTCTAAATGCATTTCACTTTTCTTCATTAATATTCATGAGATGCAAAGCACTTAAATGAAGATTGAACTGTTTTCCTACAATATTTACAGACGTATGAAAAGCAGCTGGGAAAAGCCCATGACAGAATCAAACAGCTGGAGAATGACAGAGAATTGATCAGTTTGGAGGCAGGGTCAAGGTCGTATCAGTGACACCTATACTGTTTTCCTTCATTTTCTACTTCCCTCTTTATATGCGCAATTGTACTCTAAACATTAAAGAAATAATCATTGTATTTTAAACTGGTGGAGCAAAAAAGACAGGAAATGAAATATCACATGTATTCTTTAATCAGAATAATTTGCCCCTTAGAAGTATTTCTTTGCTAAAAGTGAATCAGATACTGTAAGTTATTAATTTTTTGCAATATTTTATTTGCGCAAGTTATACATTTTGTATTTATAAACGAGAAATTTTTTTTTCTTAAATGCTGGTTTTTGCTATATATATATGCTATACTGATAAAATATATGGGAGAATGTAATTTTAGCAAGCAGACCATCTTGCATAAGTTCGCAAAAATAAAGTTCTCATGAATAGAAAGTGATTTACAGTTTATCTGGAAAATTGCAGAGTGGTTAGTTAACAAAATAAGTACTTGTGTAAGAATTCATTCCAAGTCCCTATAATGACACATAATTGTATTTTTCTATGGTTACACATATATTGAACTGACTTTAAATATTATTTTTGACATAATTTTTTTTTGACCTTCAGACCACAGCTGCAAGACTACAGGGTGGCTCAACAACGAATTAAAAAGCTGGAGAAATTACTAGCTGTCCACAGCATCAGGTTTCAAGATTTCTTTTATCTTTATTCAATCTTGCTAATTATAAATGGGGACTTGTCTATAATCTTGAATAATTTGGACTGTCAGTTTTCCATTCTTCCATATTGTTTTGTCCTATTTTCTGTGAATCATGTGACTTTATAGCTGAGAAATGAGGAATTTTGATTCAATGGTTATGACTGAAGGGGAGGTAAAATTTTGGAGGGAAGAATTTCAAGATATTATGAATTATTATGCTTCCTGTCAGGTTGTCCCCCATACCCAACTATTGATTTCAAGGATTTATATAGATAAAACTTCATTTTGTGTGCACCCATACCGAGGATCAAACTCATGACCCCGAGATTCTCAGTCCGACGTTCTACCGATTACGCCACAGACGCCGTTATCTACAACATTGTACTATAGTATATATATACTTAGTTTCAAATATTTTACACGAAAGATGAAAAATGAACAAAATAATTCTTTTAAAATAGTTTCATGAAACTATTTGTACATTATACCTAAAACATGGAACGTTAAAATTAAAGAAAAAGATTATGACGTGTCGCACAAGGTGACGTCATAATAGAGTAGACAAATGTAAGAGGTGATGAAACATCGATAATTGAGAAAATATTGCGATTTTATACCGTAACAACAGTCAGCATAATAATAACAGACTGCATGCACTATGCCTAAAGAAGGGTTTGACACATAGTGCACACGCCTCCGCCTTGTGCACCATGTGTCACAAGTTCACATCCAATATATATTTGATTTCAATGATAAAATTGGTGAGGATTTTATATCCTATGGCTGAGAAATGTTGACTCTTCATACTGGAGGGGGTGCAAAAATATTTTGAAAATGAAAATTCAGACTGTCAGTAAAGAAGAGAAATAAAAATATTGGCTATGACAAGTTCACATCCAAAATGTTTATTGAGGGGATTCAAGAAATTAAAGCTGTGGAAAAAAAATCAAGTTTGAAAGTTATTGAAAAAAAACACTGTATTCTGCAGTAAAATTTCACTTTCCATTAACTTTATTTCCAGTATTCCAGGTGAAAAGACAAATAAAGATCCATACAGACTAAAAAAGAAGTACAGTACTAAGTTGGAGGACCTAGATTATCTCCCTTTAGATTTCTGTAGGCAACACCTCAGGGTAAGCTAATGAGCTGAAAGGAAAAGTAGTATTTCTTGATTTTACATTAATTAATTAATTTCTTTTCCTCTTTATTAGCAATTTAGCATTGGGTTCCTTTGATGTATACCTTTATCTTTTATCTATATGAATTTTTGTATTACTCATTGATCAAATTCACAATTTTTGTATTTTTTGATGTCCTTGATTTGCTATTCAGCACTGTAATAGGATGTGGTTGGAAATTTAGTGCAAATCAGATTGCATTAAATACATAATTTGATTATTATGCTAATACTTAAGAAAAAGTCAATAACATTTCACAAGCTTCCAATATTTCCAATCATTTATTTAAATACATGTATACGGACTTGTCATCAAATATTTTCCTTTTGATGCCCTGTTCACACAGAAAGTTTGATACAAATTAATTGTAAGTTGCTGAGAATTAAACTTGAACCACTTTAATGTAAATTAGTTTAATTTGAATTAATTTACTGCACAATAAACTACTTCACATTTGCATTTTTGAGTGAAAAACAAGGAAAAACTATGTTAAATCACTAAAAACAGTGTGCAAACAGTACACTATTACATAATGTCAAATGCATTTCCCTGGCACAATGTGACATGATTTGCAAATGACGTCATAATAGTCATACAGTAGAAATAAATTTTGTTTCACATTACTTTACTCCGCATAAGCTCTTGTGTGAATGCAATTTATTTTGTATTAATTTAATTGGCATTATTAATTTACTTGGCATTAATTTACTGTGAATTAATCTCTTGGTGTGAACAGAGCATTAGTTTAGTTTCACATTACTAGTATAGTTTTAAAATAAGCCACTGTTAATCTCTATATATTTTACTACTTTTATAGCTAAAATTATGAATTACCTAAGACCATTCATTTGTGAATGATGTGATCGAGAAACATACAAGATATAATCCATTTTACACATGCAGGTTTAAACAATGATTACATTGTAGCATAGCCCCATATTAACATAATAATTTTATAAATATATTAAATATTTGAACCTGTTTTTGTTATGGAATTCACCTCAGAATAAAGAAAGACAATAGGAGCAATGTCAGCAGGACTTCAACCTTTCATCTTCTTTTTTAGAATGATAAATTCACTTCCTCTCACTCCTTTTAAGACAAGTCAAGAAGATAATGATAGATTGATATGTAATGTCTGGAAAAATTCTTCCCTTTATGTGACTGTTATGTGGTATCATTGTCTTAAATAATCACATATAATTGTGTTTAGTCTTAACGTTTCCTGTGAATCTTAGATGGATCTGAACTAACAGGCATTTTGGTGTTAGATTGGTTATGATAATCATACAGATAAATATAGTTAATTAAGGTTTTAGAGGAAACAAGGCATATATGATGTAAGTGCAATTATAGGTGATGCAATGGGGTTTTTTTAATGTTAATTAAAAAACTGAATATAGAAATAAATGATTTGTGTGCCTAGAGTTCTTAAATAAAATCTTTTTATGTATAAGAATGCTCTGGGCATTATGTTGCAAGGTACATAATATAAAATTCAAAGACAGGATATAAAAGATATAGTTAATGGTTGGAAATTTTCAGAAAATGACAAGAACTTTTAAGTGCAAAGTACACTGATTCTTTTTTAGGACATATGCACCGAAACAGAAGTTGAAGATCTGGAAGAAGTCATTCCCCTTTTACAAAAACAAAAAGGATTTCTTGAAACATCGCAAAGATATGAACAGGTAGATATTAAAAGCCAGAACACTTAGAGAAATCAAAAATCTGTCTCTGAATTAATTGATTTTTTATGGTGTGAACATAAAAAGTAATATTTTTTGTGCAGCATCACTTTGTATATGGGAAATTGTTCCTCATTGAAATACCTGGCAATAAGAATATTGTTGGGAAAAGGTGGGTGGGTTGGGAGGGGGTGTCTTTTACCATTATTATTACCATATCTAGTTTAAGAGGGCTGGGTGGTTGTGGCCATTTTCAGACTTGATATCCTTTAAGAGAAATGCTACATATAAAGATAAACAAAAATGTGAAGTAAAATTAAAATGTATGAAATTTATGTTTGCCAAATGATAGTTGACTGCTTAAGATACCATATCTAAAAAAAAAAAAAGTTATATCGGATGGTTAATTTGTTGGACCCCCAGCCTCCTTGAAGATCTATTTATTAAATGAAATATTTTGAATACAAAGTAAATTATTTATAAAAACTGAGATTATTTAAAATTTAAATTGATCACACTAGTACATGTATGTTGATAAGAAATGTCTTGTGTTTGCTTTTAGTTCTGCCGCTGTGTACAGGACATTTGTCTCGATGAAGAGGAATGCCAAGGGAGAACACTCAGTCCCTCAAGGAAGAAGAATTTACTGACAGAAAAAAGTCTACAGAAAACAGTGGCCAAACTACAGGGCTGGAAACAAGACCAAGATAGTTTACAGGTAAATACTGAAAACCAAGCTACAAGGCTGAAAACAAGTTCTAGATAATTTACAGGTAAAAAAAACTGAACATCAGACTGCAGGGCTGGAAACAGGATCAAGATAATTTACAGGTAAAAACTGAACACCAATTAAACTACAAAGTTACGAACAAGACTATGATAGTTTATCGGTAAATGCTAAATAATAAATTAGGAGCAAGACAATTTACAGGAAAATATAAAATAATACCTAATTCCAAGACTAGGAGCAAAGCCAGGATAATGTACAGATAAATACTGAATGACAAACTACAAGGCAGGAAACAGGACCAAGATGTTTACATTTAAAATAATATCTAAAACTAGGTACAGGACAGAGACTTTACAATAACTGATAGACTACTATAGATCACTTAATTTTTATGATACCTGATTTCATTAGATATTCATTTACTCAATATTGGTGAGACAAAATTCTAAGCAATCTTGGTTATTTTTCTGTTTAACCGTAAAGAATGCTAATATACACAAGAACGAAATTTTCATGAGCACACAATTACTTGAAAATAAAGTTCTTGCAAATAAAGTGTTTTACTGTATAGTTTAAAGTTTTATATACTATTAATGTACATGTGTATTCTTCTGACGGTGTATTCTTTTGAATAAAACCAAGGCCCTGTGTCACGGCAAATGTTAGCATGATAAAGATCCCTCACTGCTCAATAGCCCTGAGTGCCAAGTAAAGGTCAAAATTTGAAGCCCATCCCCAGTTTATGGTGACATCTCTAAAAGAGTGAAAAAATTTTGAATGGGATGTAAAACAACATACAATTAATCAATCAATCCTCTGAATAGTGCCTTTGATGAACTTCTGCTAATTCAAATACATTGCTAAATGTCAGGCTAAATTTACAGTATTTTTAAGACCAGTGAAAACTTCAAACTTTAAATTTAATATGAAATACAAATAAGATTTCTCAATCTTCAAAAAATTGACTCTCGGGTAAGAGAGATGACTCTTATCATACTGATAAGAAAATTGATCTTAAGATAGATGATTTGAAATATTAGGGAAGATTGGCTCACTGCAAAGATATATCACTCATAATTTTAAAGAAGATTGACCATTTAAGAAGGTAATCTTCCTGTTAAGATTGACCATCACTCTTATGGAAGGTTGACCCTCTGTGAAGAGAGATAACTCTTACTTTTAGGGAAGATTGACCCTCTGCTAATAGGGTTGACTCCCACTTTTTCTCACTTTTTGAAAAGAATGACTTTTTTTTCTGAGAAAAATAACTCACATTGTTAGTAAAGATTTACCTGTGCAATGACAATTTTTACTGTTAAGGAAGATTGACCCAGTGCTAAGATAAAATCTCATTGTTAAAGGGGAGTTAAAAACCTTTTGTTTCCTATATAAAATGTTCATTTTCAGCAATGATATTTCAAAATTTGCTCTGTATAGTTCACAGTAAACTTAATTTGCATAAATTTTATATTTATCTCTATCATCTGCTAGAAAATCATACATGTGTGTTTTATTGGGGGGAAATGCACTTTAATTGAACATTTTTATAACAGGGGTTAATTTTAATGGACATTTTTAGGCCAATAGGGGAACAGTCAGTATAGGGTAGAAACGCTAATAGCTCATTTTAATTAATGGAAAGTGTACGGTTTTAAAAAAAAACAGCCATCTTTAGATTTTTCTAACTTTAAGTTCATTGGAAGGACAAACCTTTCCAGTTGTCCTGTATGTGACACTAAAAGCATTCATCTTCATTAAGATAAAATTTAATGGCCACTAAATCATTCCAAAAATGATGGATAGTTTTATTCGCATTATTTCTCTGAAATGGATCAGCCTTGCAGCTCTGTATGTTGACAAATTGAGGAAACTGTATAAAAATAATGTCAGGGTCATTGGCATGGTGCTTTAAATCTTATGGATGGCACCTGATGAAGGAAAAATTCTATATTGTATAATTCCTGTTCTGTTTACTTATATTTTATGCATACTTTATCTCGAGTTATTTTAGTGTGATGCATGCAAAGATAAAAAAGGGACTATAAATAGGGCATATTTTCGTTGAAAGTTTTGACCTAGACAGGCATGGTCTAGTAATCACAAAGAAATTATTTAAAAAGTAATAACATATCACTGTTTATTACATTAAAAGTTTTGCAATCAAAAAGTTTTAGAAAAAATGTCACATTTTTTTTTTTACACTGAGCATTTAATCTTATTATTTGAAGATTTTGATTTTTACACTGACTTTTGATATAATTTAGAAAGAAGTAAAAAGGGCAAATGTATTTTTTTGCATTTTTCTAATCAGAGAAGGCAGTTAGTACAATAAAACTTCATAATCTCTAAGTTCATAGGATAGAGAAAAAAAAATATTTGAGGGTTCAAGATGTTGAGAACAAAATTCTTTAAAGAAAATGTTATTTGTTCTTCTAATTCACTTCAACAAACCCACGATATTCATGATATTGACATTCAAGAGACCATGTTTGAACTGTATTTTGATATAAATTTTGCGTTAGCCAATGGCATATTTATTAAATGTTAACGAACTCTGCTTTTGCAAGCATTTGTCACCCAGAAGTGACCCGAACATTGCAACATTTGAGTGGAAAGCAGAGAAGCCAACTACTATACTAAAAAGTTGCAAAATTTCGGACATTTCTCTGTCCATGGCAAGCATTTTGAAAATTTAAACTCTAGAACTTAAAATCTTTTTTTTTTGAAAGGGGGGGGGGGGGGTATCATGAAGAAATTTTTTTCCATGGCAACAGTGAAAAGGTTTCTCAAATCAAATAATTTTTTTCTTTTGGACATAATTTTTTTATTTCCTCAGATTTTGTTAAGTCGACTTAATTACATGTGTTAATTGTGCAGTTCTGCCATTTTTTTTTTTCCATATGAAATATGTAAACTATTAATATCCCAAACTGTATGATAATTATAATCACTTAATATCAATCATTAAAGGTATATTTTAAACAGTTAGTCTAACAATTTTTATGTGCATGCATTAGTGCAGAATAATTTTAAAAACTGTGAAATGGTAATATTGTCATTTGATGGAATATGTTTAAGGCCAGTGCCCTTTAAATATATATCCCGAGAAGCACTGCTATGATATTTATGCCCATCTATATTTGATGAGTCATACATAATGACTTTGACCATTATTATTCATGGTCTGTGCGTTTTGGCGACAAGTTGGTGTGCTTAAAATTGAAATCTCCTTTTTCTCCAAGAATGATTAATGTCAGGTGACTACCTGTCTTCAGGACATGTAAATTTTCTCTCTGGAATTCATATCAAAATATTCTGAGGTCAAAAACTCTCTGGGTGATTGATGAGCTACCTTTACCTTTTAAAGCACATGAATGTCAAGGTAACAGCCTACTTTCTCCGACAAAATGCCATTAATTCATTGAGGAACATCAGTCATTTTGAAAATGTCAGTAGGAGAAATTTTTTACAATAATGACACACACGTATTTCTTTCTTTGTACCTGATGGGTAAAGCATTATTCATGGTTTGCATATAAATTAACGATTTACATAAAAAAGGCAGAAATTAACTTTGATTTATTTCGTACCTGATTTTCAATAGGTTGATTGAGAATTTTTTGAAAAGTCACAACACTTGATTGACTTTTATTAGCACCAGTCACTTGTTGTGTCATGTTTGTTTACATCAATTAGTGATTTGAAAATAGAGATGCTAGAATTTTTTAAAGGGCGTCAGGTGAAAAATAGAAGGAAAAAAATAATTAAATAAATAAAAAAACAACTTTGGAATTTACTGGAAAGATATTTGTAAGAGGTCTCTGAGAGGCAACCTGTGCCCTATGGTAAATAGTAATATTTTAATTAAACAATAAAATGCCTTCTTTGTTTGTTAGTATTGGAATTAACATTGCTGCAGCTGTTACAGAAAAATACATGAAACGCAAATGTTGGTCTTGTAATTGGTAGCTGCAATGTTAATTCCTCATTTACTTACAAAAAAAAAACATTTTGTCGTTTATAATTATTTACATCTGACTGTAGGTTTAAAAAAACATAAAATATAATTAAACTTAAATATTGTATTGATATTTATGTCATTTGTGGGCATATGTGGTTCATAGATAGAAGAGCATGCTCTAGAAATCTATATAGTGGGCTTAGTGGCCTTTATTGATTGTTAAACATCAGACCATGGTTTTTACAAGAAATAAAGTAGAAAATGTTCAGTGGACGCAAATTTTTTGAAAATTAAAGGGCTGCTGGATATTTCCTGAAATGTCTCAAGAACATTAATGTGCTGGATTTGGTTAAAATTCACCATCAAAATAAAGGGCTTATTCATCAAATGTCATTAGTGAGAACTTCACGATTTGAATGTACTTTTTCCTGTTTATAAAGTTGTTTTGAATAATGCATGTGTTCCTAAATTACCATAGACTGGCGTAATTAAGCAGGTCCTGACATTTAATTTCCTTGGACTTATTTATAAAGTTTTGATGAAATTTGTATTCTGTTTGAAATTAGCAAGGTGGGGGTGTTAATTAATATGAAGTTTTTGTGTTTTAATTAATTAAACCTAAATTAGCTGAGACTGTCAGAGAGATATATTCAAATGATCCCTTGAAGATTTTAATCAATTCTTCTCCTTGTTTGTGATATAGATTACCAGATCCTTCATTATTGTAATTAATTTAAAAGCTGATTTGTTTACAGGTGATGGGAACATATGTCCTTCTAATAAATCTTTGACCTGCTTTCATATCTATTTCATGATTTTATTACTGCGGTAATTTCTTTTTCTTTCTCACAGAAACTATTTATTTTTAAATAGAAATGCAATAAAAGAATCTCAAAGGGATTTAAAATAAGACTGTAATAAATTTGTCAAAAATATGTCTTTTTCAGACATTAAACAAACTCATAAGAAAGGTTTTAAATCAGTCAACATCCTGTAAATGAAGGTTAAATCCATATATCTGTCACAGAACAGACTGTTTTCTTGTGCTTAAAAAACAAAAATCAAACAAATGTAAAATAGGCAATTTATGGACCATTTACCTACCTAAGAGGTGAGATTGAGTGACAGTGAGAAAATAATATAACACTGAGTTGATCAAAGGTATATCATTTTCAACATAGGGTACATGTACCAGTTAAACTAACCCCCAGGAAAAATGTCCAAAGCAAAACATTGTATTGATAAACAGAAATCACTATTACTTACTTAAATGGGAATATGTATACACGTGAATAAATGTTTGAATTGATCACTAATTGAATAAAAAATTTATGTATGATTAAATATCATAGGTTATCAGATATTTCCTACGTCTTGAAATTGTTGCAAATTTGTCCCTTGGATGACTGAAGAAAATACATGTACCTACTAATTAATACATTCTATCATCATGATGTTTTTTATTATTATTATTTTGTGTACATTTTTAATTTTGGACTTTTGCTTCCTTTTTTGTTTTGTTTTTTCATATACCAAGTGCATATTAACTAAAACTCCTTTGTTTTCAATTACAGGAGCTACAGATATCCTTAAACAAGCTGGGGGAGAGGGTGGCCCCCTGGTTAAAGATCAGACTGAGTGGGGACCCCTCAATGACCCAGATCATTGGGGCCGTGGACAAAATTGTATATGATGATGGCATTATTAGGGAAAAGGTGAGATAATAAAGTCATTCTTCTGTCTTGTTATAGCTAAAGTGAGTATCTGAAAAGGAACAGGGAATCCATTACATTTCACATTCAGAGAAGAGGATGTAAAAGCAATATATGCAGTCTTTAAAAGTAAAATATCAAGTCATACATGTACTTTTCTATTTCTTCATAGACAATCTTTAGACTATTCTTTCCATTCCCTTGTCTCAGTTGCATCTAAAGGATTTTGCCACTTTATTATCAATGTTACAAGGAGAGCAGTGAAATAAGAAGGGCCCACGTTTTCATCTAACTTTATGTAACATTAGATAAAGATTTAAATTTCTTGTGCACGATTTGATTGCAATCTGAAATTACCCTTCACCCCATTCAAACTACAAGCAAAGAAATGTGTAGCCCAAAAACAATAAAGTCTCATTTAAATTTAACATGAATTAGAAGAAAAATTTTACACCATGACCTAAGTGTCCTTGGTGGTACGTGTATATAGTGAGCTATTGCTTTCCTCCACTAGGATGGTAAGGAGCACCCCTCCCGTACAGTCCTGGAGAACATTGTACGACACTTCCAGACTCTGTTTGATGTACCCTCAGTGTCGGGGGTGTTTCCCAGGATGAATGATATTTACACCAAGCTAGGAGAGGTCCACAACGTCCTCAACACGCTACGGAATCTCCTTGGACTTGGTAAGAGACGTGTTTACAGCTGTTGTCTTGTGGACTGGTATTTTGTTCCTCATATACTAGTTGTACATATACAGTTTGTTTCATGAAGTATTTTCCAACAGGGTTATAATTCTACTGTAACAAAATTTTGTTTCATCTGCATGTAAAAAAATGTTGCAGATTTATTTTATGTTTAGTAGAAAATTTTATTTCTAATAAGTACGCTGTAACAAAGTTTTGTGGAGTTGTAACCAACTACTTATATTAAACTACTAAATTAATCTCATGTGAAAAAAGTACTTATATAGTATTGAACAAAATTATTTAAATGAGACAATATACGAGGGGTGTTCGGAAATTATTGAGACATTTACTTTTACTCCATAAAGGACGGAGATAAATTCAGGAAAGTTCGTCAACATTAAAGGAAGAATAAATTAAACAGTTTTGCAAAATTTCTAATTTCTATGATAATTAGATAATTTCTGGTGAAATCATAAGCATGCATATGTCTATCGACCTGGAGCAGCATTAGTACGTCATTTTAACGTCACGTCAGCCGGAGATGTTTTTGCATGTAAAAACGATCGGGAAGCGTTTACTCTTCTTTCTTTGTTATCATATATTCCATATTAAAATCAAACTGTCTATTTTCATAAACAATTCTTTAAAAAAAATGTGCTGTTGCTTCACTTGTGTAATTTTGTCATGAGTCATATATACAGGATGATTTAGTATCATGCAGTGCTCATTTATGCAACGAGGGGTCAAAGTTTTTAATTCCGTAGCGGTAAGATTTGATGGTCGTCCGGAGCGTTTGAATATACTAGTACTTTGGTTGAATTATAGGTTAGAAAAATTATATACATATGAAAAAACAAACTTCTGACATGTTTTTCCCGTTGTCAATGTTTTAGCAGGTCGTTCAGTCTGAAAAGGAGTTTTACATAGCGCTACACGAAATTTAAGGTCTCTTGCTGCTCCACCTTAACGCTAAAATCCATTTTGTCGCCGTAATCAGATTTCTGTACTGCACCTATTTTTTTATGATCTCCATATTCCTGATCAGAATTATAACAAACTTAAACAACATGAAGTCAAAATGAAATGGAAAAATTATATACATAAATTCATTTATTTTCGCTCTTATTATGGGTCCACAGTGGGTATGAACGTTGGTGATACATATTTCCAACATCTGATTTTGTGTCTGCTCCGGGTACCCCTACCATTGACACATTTTAATGCCACTGAAGATAAGAAATTTAATATTTGTGAATTATATTTGCTTTTATGAATTCTTAATGTTTGTCGAACGTATGTGCAAATTTTCACCGAAAGACGTTCATTAGAAAGAAAAATATACACACTGTCTCAATAATTTCCGAACAGCCCTCGTACATGTATTCAAAGACATTGCCTTCATACTTATACAATTCATTGAAATCAAATACAACACAAATTGTACTGAGTAGTAAACAGTTTACCATTCAAGGAAATTCTAGGTGGTTTAAAAAAGAACAAGATAAGGGGTGCTTACTCGTCCGTGGCACCTGATCCACCTCTGGTGTGTTTAGAGGTCCGTCTTTGTTCACCTTCTGATCTGTATTACTTTAATAGACTTTTGAATGTGATCACTGTTCATTATTTCTTATTTTATTTACCAGATCCTGATGCTAAATCTTCAGAGATTGTGGATGCTGTGGGGCATCTGTGCCAGACTTACAGAAACACAACATCAAAGCAGCTGAAATCTCTCCTACAAACTGAGGACTTGGAAGGGTAAGTTCTGCCTCATTATCTGTTGTCTAGGGCGTAAATCAGAGTCAGTCCAGTCAACAGCATCTGCATTGTTTTTAGGTTTTTCTTCAATCCATGAAATATGCATGACTTAGATTTATATTAAGCTATCTACATAATTAAATTGATAAAATACATCTTAAATCAATTCCTAAATATACATGTCTAAAGAAAATACAAAATTCAATTCAAGAGTTCTGATTCTATAATAGTACCTGCTTGGGAATCGTATTATATTCAGGTGACTGTTGAGAACCATAGGCCTCATAATTTTGTTTGTATTTCAGAGTAATACGACGTCTGGAGGAACACAGTAATTTCTTCCCAGCATTCCAGGAAATTGTCAAGAAACTGTTTGAAATTTTAGGTAAATTGCTAAGACTTCTGTCTAAAAATTATCACTGATAAGACTGAAAAAATAAAAAATTGTTTTATATCTGAAATCTTTTGATAAGTTATGTTAAAAAGTTTAAAAATTTAATAATGCTTGTTTATTTATGGTAGACTTTAATTTAGTTGAAACATTCATTTTCTTAATTTTGTACATTGTGATCCTTGTTTTATTTGCAGATATCCAAAGAATGGACCAGATTATACCAGCTGTACGTGCCCTTAAACTGTTGGCAGGTTGATCCACCTCCCGAAACATTAGAAATTTTATTATTGATCGACTGTGATTGTCTATGCATTTAGAAAAGTTAGACCTTGCAATTTGGATACATCATACAGTGATACTGCATTGATGTACAAGTCCAGGAGTGTCAATTAATTTTAAAAACTTTTTCTCAGGTTCTGTGACTGTCCAAAAAGCTATATATTTTTAAGAACACTTCATTCCTGAAGATGTAAAATAATATTTCATTAATGGAAAAAATATGAAGTTTAGTATAATTTTCAATATCTGGAAGCCGAAGATGAAATGCAATGTTTTGTGATGGAAAGTTGTTTATAGATATATATTTGAGTTATTGTAGATATGTATTTACTAACTGTGATAGAATTGTTAATATGCTAATTTAATAGAATAAATTTCAAGAAAAGTTGGTGTCACTTATTCTTTCCACATGGTTAAATTCAAAGTAGTCATGCTTTTCTGTAAAGTACTTAATTAAGCAGCTGTGGCTTTGATCGCTTAAAAGAAGATTATTTGTTATCATTATAATGCAACAATTTATGCTATTTGTTATGCATGGTTACTTTTAACACTCTTTTTATATCTTTGAAAACAATTAACGATTTTGAATTATTAATTTCAATATGCAATGACTTTGAATTTATAGAATATAAATTCCCCTGAGCAGGTTTATAAACTGCCATTTAACGGAAGTTGTAAAAATATTTTCTTACAATGCATTGCCAAGTATTTACCATGTTACAACATAAACACTAGTGTTAAAATTTTCAAAAAAATAAAAAATAACAACAAGTTAAACCTTGTTTTCTTGAACCAAATGGGACTAAGAAATACATCAGATGATGAATTGAGATATCAAGAGAAACAAGATGTTTGTGAAACACCCTTTTTTAACAGGGTTTGGCAAAGGTTAAGTTTTTCATATGCAAGTCAAACTCCAAGGTCAAGCTCAAAAGATAAAAAAAAAATATCTAAAGAAAAGATTTGTCTTAGTGAATATACCTGTGAAATATGGAAGTCGGTCAGCAACCATTTAAGTACTAACAAAAATAAAATATTGAAGGAAAAAAAATAGATGTTCCAAGTCTTCTATTGCTTCTCAAATGGAAGTGGTAGCCTATATAGAACATCAATTTATAAAATTTTATTAAATTATTATGTTTCCTTGCTACGATTTAAATAATAAGTGAAGGAAATATCTTGGCCACACCCAAATCCTGGGTCAATTTTTAAATTTTTAATGGTCTAATGCATATTAATATGATTAATAATCATATATATGAGAAGATTTAAAAAAAAAAATTTTGCCTTTGTATGACTTTGAATCCCCATTGTGGTTCCACCTTAAATATCCTGTGATCATGCAACTTGAAACAAACACATATATGACAACAGTTTTCAAAGTCAATAGAAATTTACATTTTAAATTTTTGGCCGTTACTGTCAATTGTGAGGGAGTTGTCAATAAACTATCATTGACCTCAGGGTTCCTGAAGAGTTTAGGAGAAATGCTTTAATGATCAAACACAGTTAAAAATCCCACTTTTGAAAAAATTCTTCTTTCTTTTTTAAAAAAAAAGATTTAATCCAAATGAAAACATGATGACTTTTATTTGATATATCCGTGCCAGAAAATTCAACACACTTTCGTCCAGACTTGATATAAAATGTTTAAGGTAAACTTTTTCAAATTAAGTCAAATTAAAAGTATATTCCGTTCTTATTGCTATTTTTTGTTAACCTTTTTTTTTTTAGTTGATACTCTTAATGAAATAAACTAATTAGTTTACTGCAAATTTATTCAATCAAATATGAAGATAACGAACAATTTATATCAAGCTCAAAAGTCCACCAAAAACAACATAGACTGACCAGGGCAATCTTCTAAAAACATCAAAGGTGAGATCAGGTGCCATGGTGGTTTCAAATATAAAGCAGATTTGCTAGACTGTGGTATCGTAATACACCATCGATATATCTAAATGTTAAGTTGAGGGCCACATACAGCAAGTGTTATAAATTTCCTTCATCTCATGTGTAAAGTTTGTTTTTAAATTCTGTTTATGTGAATACAAAAATAGCTAGGTCTGCTAATAACGGGGTGCAATTGGTACCCATGGGAATTCCAACAGATCGTTGAAAGATGTGATCTCAATATACTAAATTGATTTCGACTTGAGAAAGTATCTTTGGGGTCTATATTAAGGGGGCCGACTGTAGTTTTCATTGCGCAATATTTCGCGCATCATAGTAAAATGAAGTGTATTTACTGTTTTAAAGCAACGTTTCTCACTGAATTAGTAAAATTAAAGAAAATTAAGAAATTACAGGTTTAAAAACGTAATTAAATTTGTATTTAACTGAATTTTCAACCAATTTTGCAACTGATAGGTAGGTTGGCATCGTTCTAGTGTGTTTTTGACGTTATGATAAACTGAAGTTTTTAAAGAAAGGGGCAATAAAAATGTTATTAAATAAAAAGTAATAATAAAACATATGCTCTTGAAATTTAAAACGTAGAAATTTGAGAATCTCTCCATTATTCTTATAATTTTTTCATATAATACCTCTGCGCAAGTCATATTTTGTAGTACTGTATAAAAACAGGAAAAATTTATAATTGTTTGCTTTTTTAAGATGCCCCCTCTGGTAACAAGACGGTACAATTTTGTGTTTCTTACATGTAATGTAAAATATAGTATTACTCATCAAATATTATAGTTTGAACAAAAAGTTTACTGTAGTATTTGTATAATTTGCTTTAAAGTGCTAAAAAACCGTCATTTTCCTATATAATCCTGTAGTAAATGTACCTTTACTTTGAGACGGTCCCTTAAAAATACCCGGACGGTAGATTTTGCCCAAACTTTGCATGTACACTTAAGTTAATGTAAGTTATATATGGTATAAAAATGAAGAGTTTCGCTATCTTAGTTTTGACACAATAAAACCCCAGTCGGCCCCCTTAAGTTAAAAATTGATAAAATCATTTGAGGGCTTCATAATTTTGAAATTAGTTGTAAAATATCATTAAAGTGACAATATGGCGCATCTCTTCAAAAACAGACTTGTTAAAATTTTCCTATGGGATTTAGAATTTTTTTCATACTCATAAATGTATACACTTTCAGAAAATTACAAATTTCAAAAGTAAATAATTCTGATTGTTTCATTAAAATTAATAATTATTTATGGCTCATAAATATATACATCGCAACGTGTTCGAGGTTCCACATTCCATGCTATATGCGCATGCGTATAGTTTTCATAAACAAAACAGCATGGTAAGAGAGGAAGCCCGGTAGGCCTGCTACATTGACAAAGTCGACCAAAACGAAAAACAAAACCAAAAATAGGGCTTGAAATTAAAAAGCAACATTCCTGACACAAATTTAGTTGGGAGATTATAAAAATATAAACTATTATTGATTTAAAGCACTGCAGTGATTTAAGCAGTTCCGGATCGTAACGGGACAAACACTCGGTTAATTATATATGCAGGACTTGTGTTTGATTTCTACATTGAAATAAATAGTCCTTTATTTACTCTTTCAAGCCATATTATTTTTTTAAAACGTTATACTTTATAATCGAAGTTTTCCAATTAAAATATGCTGGAGTTCAAGCAGTTTAGATGATTTCAAGTAGTTCCTGTTTTCGCCACCTATCGTTGTTATTTATAGTTGTAACAACAGAGGTCGTCTCAAAATTCATTTTTAACGATCAGATCTTAAGTTAATAGGGACAATAATATTTTTTTTTCACTTTTTTTTAAGACCTGAGCTCGAAAATGGAATATCAATTATATCATATTTAAAGAAGAAAAGATCATGTTTCAACAACTTTATTAAGGATAAAATAAACTATCAAATATTTAAAAAATAATAATAAAAAAAAAAAACAACATATTTTGGTACAATAAAAATCAGAAAATTGCATTTGAAGACTAGATAAAATCATCAAAAAATAAAAAATATAATTAATCAAAGAATTGTTGTTCATTTCATACAAAAAACTAGAAATATGTCCATAGGACATAAATGCCCAACACATAATTCACCAGTTCACTTAACTGTATTTGAATTTAATGCACATGAAACTGCTTGAGATAGAGTGTGAAGTTTGAAGAAAAGGTTAAACTTGAGTACATGTACTTTCAAAATAACTCAGTTTTATACACAATAGATGAGAAAGTTGAAGGCCATAGGGAAAGTCAGTTTAAAAAAAATTGCACACATTCTTAATTCGATAAATTCAGGGACCTATATACGTATGTAGGTCCCTGATAAATTCTTACCATTTAATTTGAAATTATGTATAAGTTACAAAAATATCTTGAATAGTTTTTTTGGTTTGAAAGGTAGCAAGCTGCAAATTTGAGAAAAGTGAGGTCAAGGTAAAAACAAATCTTTAAGCAGTTGAATACCTCTCACTATATGTGTCAGCAAATGAAGTTTGATAAAAATATCTTGAAAATTTCTTTGAAACTGAGCTTAACACAAAGTGTCACAGATTGACAGACAGAAGGAAAGATGACAGACATGACAAACACTACACATTTTATGTGTAATATACATTATTAACCTCTGCAAAAAATTCTCCATTTTAATCCAGAATTGTCTAAAAAGAATTTGATAAACCTTTCGACACATGACCTATCAGAAGGCCTGCTACATATTTTAGCGGCAACCCTCTTTTGGGGTCATTGGTGGTTTCATAAAGTTCTTGCTTTCTTATGATTTCGAACATTTTCTTCTTTTTCTTCCCATGACTACTTCTAGTTTCTTTGGACTCAGTGATATATTAGATATAGCAAACGCTGAAAAAAAATAATAAATACACTCTACATTGTATAATATTTAATGAGATTGTTCATTCTTTACAGTTTCTCCATTCAATTTTATTAATTTGTTTATATGTATTTTCTTCTAAGGATCTTTGAATTTGTAGTATCTTCTGTAAACAGCATGTGAGAGAGAGAGAGAGAGAGAGAGAGAGAGAGAGAGAGAGAGAGAAGCTAGATGGGGGAGGGAGAAAGATACTTAAAGCCATGACTTTGAAATTAATAATACTCTCTCACCTTTTCAAATCAACATAATTTACCATAAAATTCTGAATGTAAAATGATTTCATGTTTCTGACTTTTTGTTTAGGTTATTTTCTCTTGTTTGTTATACCAGCTCTTTTGAGACAACCC